TTGATTAGAACTCATCTACTTAAGCGCTATGCGTAAAACCACACAGTAGACTGTTGTGAAGTGATCAGAAAGTTAATAAACCTGTGCATAACAAGCAAGCAACCAACTTCGGAAGAGGAAGGAAAGTTTGTAACCGCTGGAATGAAACTACACTTTGATGATAGGGTCATTTCCGGCGCCCTTCTTTGGTGGGGCGCATAACTTCCCTTTCATGCCATCAGCCGCTAGGACTTCATTTTAAAGAAGAATCGACAGCAGCAATGTGACAAGCACTATTGTAATCTCCTGTTTCCTTCCTACAGACTGACACTCATTCATCAACCTCTCAAGAAAGAAAGGCTGGTGACCTGATCAGGTTCGAACCCGGTACTTCTCGATTCTGAATCTGACGGTTTATTGACTGGATAACCCCGGTACGAAGGAGGATTCCTCGTTCAAAGTAATTTTTAGTTAAGACAAGGATTGACCTACACCAGAATCGAACTCGGTACCTACGGATTTCGAAGCCGTCCTTTCAGACGCTTTGCACCTTTATGCATAGCTCGCCAAGTGAATGCTAAGATTCACTGACCCTACGGTCCCAATGCCATTTATTCACGAAGGTAGACTGACGGTTACAGACCGTCGCATAGGAAAGTCGTAGAGTAGTACGGCAGTACAGTGCATAGTACTTTCGTACAGTAAGTATATAGTATAATCGTATATTGTTAGCTGCATGCAGTATTCGACGCGTCGAGAGTTATAAATCGACCCCACATGTTGGACTAATTAAGGTGAAGCCATGAGACTTCATTAGCTTGTAGTGATTAGCATGTAAACGTGCACGAAGGCGAGTGATTAGATTTGTCTTACATCACGTGTACCTGAACGTGGCATTCATAGGCTATTCAAAACAACAAAGCGGGAGAATTTTCTTGCAAAAGACAAAGACACTGCTTCATATGACTGTTATTTACAGTCATCCAGTCGATGTTTCCGTATACGTCAATAGGAACATGCACTTTCTAAAGGAAACTGGCATCAAAGTCTTCAGTGCCTTACATTAATCTAAGGTATGCGGTAAGAACTGAATCCTGGAAATTCTTGTCCTCTGCAGCACTCCCTCCAATTTTCTTTCTCGCCTACCTCATCACGATAATCGACAAGCATCAGGAGGAGACACGGTGGAATCTACACTCCTGAGTTCCACGAGGGATTGCGATGAACCTTTAAGCCGTCGCCGACGAAGCAATGACATGAGACCAGCAGAGGTCATTATGTCTTTAGAGGCAGTTTTATCTAGCAGAAGGGTGCACTCTGATCATAAGCTCGTACGTGAACATCAAGGAACGCAATCGTTATTAATCTCCAAAGAAAGCACATTGGATTTTTTCCTCATGACGTTTACTCTCTAAGCGGGTCATGGCGAATAGAAGATTTCGTTGTTGAAATGAATGTGTAGAAAAAAGTGTTCTTCGTGACTCTTGTATGATCAGCAGCTGAGAAATTTCGTTTAATCCTTTTCTTGAACATGTAAGTTTCTGTTGTCATCCGCCGAACTGAGGATAATATTTGTAGTCACCGTCTTCTGAGTGATATTATTTCGGTTGTGGTTAAACCGCTAACCTGATTCGATCAGTGAGTAGGTTTTCTAACTAAAATAAGTCATGCTTATTATGCGTTTAGACGAGGTCTTGGGCAGCTTCTCTGCCAAGGAAATTTAAGTAGCTTCTCCGTGGTAGTTAATCTGAAGCCAACATATATAACCATTAACTAATCAGCAGAAAAACCAAAAGGTAAACGTTCGTTAAATCACTATTCCTCCGTCTTGTGAAGTTCATCCCTCAAACCAAAGCCTTCAATTTACAACCAGATGCAATACTACCGTAGAAAATGGCAATACAAGTAAGCCCTCAAATTCAGTAGTACAGAAAAGTTAAGTCTCCCTGACCGACCACTTAAGGAGGTTACGGGTTTCCGTGGTATTTGAACACCGACAGCACACTGGGGCAATGCCATACAATTGATTTGAGCAGAATCATACACTGAAAGTCACACAGGACATGTTCAGAACCTTAAAGGTTAAAGAATTAAGAACGAACGATTTCACATTCGCCTTTCACAAACGAATCAGTTCATCATACCACAGACTTCCTTGGTTTAGAATAACAGGTCGAAGTAACTGAGTCCAGAAACAATGTGACGCCACTATTCAAAAACTGTTTGCCTTTTTCAGGATAGTCAAGGAAACGTGTCAATATTTGAAAATGGCAAAAAGGCTGTGAAAGTTGGTTGGACGTAAAGCACTATCGCGATAGCAGTTCAAAAGATAAAGGGCAGGGATGAAAAGAGAGGATAAAAGAGAAGAGGAAATGCAAGCTTGAGGAGAAGGATATGGAGGGAAATTGAATGGAACAGAGGGGAGGCGAGAAACGGAGAGAAAAAAAATAGGAAAAGAAGCGACTTCCCTTTGCAAGTGGCTGCACAGCATAATGCAAGGGCTTCTGTAGTTTAACATATTGTCACTTTATATCTTTGACACTTCTGCGATGGGCCTATTAATTTGGATTATCTCCATATGAGACTTGCCTTGTTCATTCTTTTTGGTCTTATTTGATAATCGGTCACTATGGTGTATTTTTCGATAGCCAAAATTAACCATAGAGTGAAGCCCAAAAATTGGTTATTACAGTATTTAGTCATCCCAGTTTTGATAAGGGGTTTGAAACCCTGAGGTCAGGAAAGCTAGGCTTTAGTAGTCCGCAGGCTTTTACCCAAGGTACTGATTTCAAATACTCAGCCTCTATTTCAATGGAAAGATTCCAAATGAAAAGACATCCTGTTCAAAGACATTAGCTTGGAACTTTGGCTAATCAGAGAGAACATGAGCCGTTGCAGAAGGTAGCAGAAAACGAAATTTTCCGGCTATAGACCCAATATATGATCCTCAGATGACCTTAAGCACGTGCCGCATCCTAAAAATTCAGGAGTTGCCCTGGTTTCTACAAGTGATATGCTGATCCATGCCTGCAAATTAACTGAATGGCACGTCAGCCATGATAATATTAGACTGCCCCGCCGATCAGAGTTTAATA